GCCATCAGAATTTACTGGTCAGCAGGCACGGTTTTGGAGTCATTCACACTTTATGCAGCCGGTGACATCACCAAGGCATGTGTTCTGAAGGGACAGCATACCCATTCCATACCTTGAGAGCTCTTTGCCAGGGCTCCGGCGCGGGAGTGCCGTCATCAAGGCTCTGGCTACACATACAACCCACAAACCTGGAAGGAAGACCAAGTGAAGATGGAAGCGCTGGGGAGAAGTAACAGTGCTGCGCTGGAAGACTCTGCGTGCCTGTCATAATGTGCTAGTATGTGGTGTACTAGCATTATAACAAACCTGCAGGGGGCCCGATTTTTTTTTTTTTTTTTTTTTTTTTTTGAGGCACTGACTTGTTTTTTTTTTTTACTGACACTTTATATATATCCAGCTAGATTAATAAATTCCTTCCTCAGCTGCTCTAAGGTAACACTAGGATCGTTCTCCTCTTGTAAAAAAGTTTTGAAGAAAATATATAGGCCAAAATGTATTCTGCTACATATCTTTGCTAGAAAAAAAAATCCCAATACATGTAAATTAATTGGTTTATGTGAAAGTTACAGCGTCTACAAATGTCAGTATATACACTGGAATTTTAATTTTTTTATACTAATGGCATATTAATATATTAATGGCAGCAATCGGCGACTATGGTGGGACTGCAGAGTGCAATCTAACACTAGGTGAGAACTGAATAACGGCTACTGACATACCCAGTGACACTAATACAGTGATCAGTGCTAATAAAAACACTGTACTAATGACACTGGGCAGGAAGTGGTTAACTTTTGGGTGATCAAAGGGTTAACTGTGTGCTGTTTTACTAGGGAGGCATGCTGTTTTGTATCTCTCTGCTGTGCAGAGCGATACAAAACAGCATGTCCATGCTGATAGGGGAGAGACTGTGTTTACACACAGGTCTCTCCCTTGTCGGCTCTCCCGTCGGCTTTCCCCGACGACTGGCGAGTGCTGGCCGGGAATAACCGGCCGGACCCAGTAATTTACATCGGTAGCCACCAATGGCAGCGCGGGCAGGGTGTGCGTGCCCCCTACCCAGAAATGCATGTGTGTGCGTGTGTGCGTGTATCATTGCTGCCAACTGATGAAAAATGATTGATAATTTTCTACCCTGGCCAACCAACTCAGTTTGATTGGATCTGATTTAAATTAAGTAAAAAATTATCAGAAAGTTATGGCTATTCAATTGTTTGCTGATCCGACTCCTTTGATCGAATCACACATCCATCGGATGATAAAATTGAAGCACATATGGCCACAATTAAACCACAACATCTTATAGACCTGGCTTGCATTATTTTTTACAGGTATGTATATAGCACTGACAATTTATGCAGTGCTTTACATACTGTACAATCAAACTAGTTGCTACCTTCAAGGAACTTACAGCCTAAGTTCCCATTCTCACATTCATACATTCTCACATTCATACATACACATACAAAAAGGCCAGTTTGGAATCCAATTACCCTACCACTATGTCTTTGGAGTGTGGAAGGAAACCAGAATACCTAGCAGAAACTCACACAAGCAGAGGAAAAAAATATGCATTTAATTTAATCTTTGTTTTATACACAACTCTATTCTAAGCAGGTCACAGCAATGGGTTCATTTTAATACCCCTCCCCCTTAGCAGTGCTCTGTAGTTGATATTATGGAAACAATGGGGTTGATTTACTAAAACTGGAGTGCGCAAAATCTGGTGCAGCTGTGGAGAGGAAGCAATCAGCTTCCAGGTTTATTATCAAAGCTTAATTGAACAAGCTGAAGTTAGAAGCTGATTGGCTACCATGTACAGCTGCACCAGATTTTGCACTCTCCTGTTTTAGTAAATCAGCCCCTTAGCGCTGGTTCACACTGAATGCAACTTTGAAATTGGAAAGTTGCAGGTCAGTGCGATTTCAGGTGCAACTTGCCTGACCATCTGTGCAACTTCATGCACAGATGTCGTCAAAAAGAGTCCAGGAATCGCACCAATTTGAACAGTTTTATTGATGACAATAGGGAGCGAATTGTCATGCGTTTCAGAGTCAAATCGCATGACAAGTTGCACCGGTGTGAACTAGGTCTTAGTGTAGCTCCTGGTAGTTTTCCTTTTCAACGCTTCATGCACATAGACAAAAAAAAAAAAAAGTTGCTTTCAGGGGCTTTTTTTTTTTTCTTTGCACATACCACTGAGCGCAACTACATGTTATCTAATGTGCCCACAAACCAGGCACTTTAGTGCATTTTGTTGGGCAACTTTCAGTGGCAGAAAAGTTTAAAATTTAAAAAAAAAAAAAAAGCCTCAGGCATTTGTTCCCAGAGAAGCAGTTTTCTGGGGTTTTTTCCCAGTGCAAACACGTCTAAATGCACATAAACAAACACAGGCTTATGCTTGTAAATTTATTCTAATGGCTAGAATACATGAATATTCTAGCCTATAGACTGAGTTTATGTGCAATCGCTTCTAAACACCATACACATTTAAATGTGCTTATACACAAGTGAAAAAACGCGAGATTAGAGGCATTTTTTCTGGCAGCATAAATTCATATGCCCATGTGCATGAGACCTTGTGATCTGCAATATGAATTCCATTTATCACTGGTTCCATCATCTTGTGTTTTCAGATCACCATCAAAAAGGGGGTTGTAGTGGACTGGAGCTTAATGCTTAGTCTCAGCTGGCGTGTACAATATAAATAAATTATATATATGTGTACAAACACACTTTATTAGGTACACCTGTTCAATTGACATGGCAACAACTCAATGCATTTAGGCATCTAGACATGGTGAAGACGACTTGCTGGAGTTCAAACCGAGCATCAGAATGGGGAAGAAAGGGGATTTAAATGACTTTGAATGTGTTAGTGCCAGATAGGCTGGGGTTTACAGAGAATGGCCCAAAAAGAGAATATCTAGTTGTGTGGACGAAAATGGCTTGTTGATGTCAGAGGAGAAAGGGCAGACACAGATTTGATTTACAGCATTTCAAATTCAAGTAAATTTACATATTCCTGTGATTAGACAGAGGACAGCAGCTAAGTGGGGTTGAACTCAGTGCAATGGGACTTTAAGTGGTACTAAAGTCAAATTTTTTTTTTACCTTATTGCAGTCTCTGCCTTAAGGTAACAAATGCCCCACTACCTGTTCTACCGCACTCTGTCCCTAAACACTTACCTGGCTCCATGTCCCTGTTCCAGCACTGCTCTCTTCACTTCCTGCATTTGACGGCAATGGAGTCAGACGCCTGCTGCTATCAGTCAAACTCCTTTGAAGAAGCAGGGGCATGGCTTACAGGCACTCTGTGTTTATGGACATACGAAACCCACGCACGCGCAGCTCACTGTACAAATTTGGCAACGCCGAATCTGACTGAACGCCCAGACATGGGCATGAGTGACATCATCCCCGCCTGGCCAATGACAGCAGCTGGCGATCAAGATCTCGATGTCAGCAGCCAGACGGAAAGCTTGGGGATGTCACATCGCTGGAGACGAGGAGAGTATGGTTCCACTTTAACCTCCTTGCATCAGCAGCGCTCCCGTCTGGCCAGGAGTGCTGCCGATGCGGGTGAACTTTTCTAAACATCCCTCTGCATCCATTGCCTGTGCATGTTCCCTGGGAGCATGCGGCACCACGATTGGTGCCCGCTGCACGGGACCTCTGTGTGAGGTCCCGATTCATGCGATCATTGATTGGCCATAGTAGTAAACAAGTTGTCACTTCCTCGCATCATTGCTTACTACTTGTGAAATCTCTGAATTATCACAGAGGTCACATGGTACAAGGCTATTCACAACAGCCTTGTACCATATGACAAGCTTTGACCAATCACAGCTCTCACAGTAGTTCAATGGCTGCAAGAATGTAGCCAGAGAGAAATAGAAATGATTACTTTTACAGCCTTTATAGGTGTAAAAGCAATCAGTGTAAAAAAAAAAAAAAAAAATCTTCATCACCCCCCCCACGTAGTAAAGCGTCACCATAATATACATTATAATATCATCCAATGTACAATACAAGATATTATTTTCTCAAAGTGTATTGCACACATATATTAAGCAATGTATGCTCCTGTATTTACATCCCCCCCCCCCACCCAAAAAGGCTTGACACAAAAAATGTCTAAAATACGAAATTTCTCAATTGCTGTAAGAATGCAGCCAGAGAGAAGGAGAAATTATTGCTTTTACAGCCTTTATGGGTGTAAAAGCAATCAGTGTAAAAAAAAGAAAAAACTAAATCTTCAATCAACCCCCACAAGTAGTACAGTGTCACTATGGTGACACTGTACTGCTAGAGTGACAGTATGGGGGGAAAAAAAAAAAAAAAAAAACACACCCACACACACCATAAAAATAAAATAAAAATTTAAATTTTTTTTTTAAATTATAATTTTTGGTTATAAACTAATTTGGTTTTTTTTTATTTACTTACTAAAGACAGATGAATAAATTTTGGCCAAGATTTATGAAGAAAGATTATTTATTTGCAAAATGTTATAAGAAAAACACTTTTTTCCCAAAATTTTTGGTTGTTTTCATTTATATAGAAAAAAAAAATAAAAATCCCAGTGGTGAATAAATACAACCAAAATAAAGTTTTATCGGTCTCAAAAAACAAAACAATGCAAAAAATTTCATATGGGTACAGTGTTGCATGACCTTGCAATTGTCATTCAAAGTGTGATAGCGCTGAAAGCTGAAAATTGGCCTGGACAGGAAGGGGATGAAAGTGTTCGGACTTGAAGTGGTTAAGCAGACTGTTTGCTTTATAAAAAAAAAAACTGACTTTATTCACTAAAAAGGTAAACATTAACCAACAGCCGCCATACAGAATTCATCATTCAGTGACCCAATTGCAATAAACTTGGATCTTATTGGCTGCCATGTCTGTAGTTTACACAATACCTTTGTTTTGTTGTTTCAATGTGAAGAAGGTGGGCAAATAAAATCCATTAGAATCTATCCCTCTGTACAATCACTTACTTGATATCTGTTAGGATCTGTCTCTCTGTAACTTTTCGGCAACAAATTAAGCCAGTCTTCACTTCCACCATGTAGTTGATATTGTGGAAAGTTAATGTAGCTCCTTGTAGTTTTCTTTTTTTATCTGATGCTTGAATTCCATTTATCACTGGTTCCATCATCTGCACAACGGTATGAGAATTCTTCTCTGCCATGACGATGTGACCACCTTCCTGTAGAGATACAAGAATACCATATGTACACATTTATTTCCAGACTGCCTGGGTGTATATGACATATTTAAAGAGTAAACCAAACACATATACAGTCAGGTCCATAAATATTGGGACATCGACAATTCTAACATTTTTGGCTCTATACACCACCACAATGGATTTGAAATGAAACGAACAAGATGTGCTTTAACTGCAGACTGTCAGCTTTAATTTGAGGGTATTTACATCCAAATCAGGTGAACGGTGTAGGAAGTACAACAGTTTGCATATGTGCCTCCCACTTGTTAAGGGACCTAAAGTAATGGGACAATTGGCTTCTCAGCTGTTCCATGGCCAGGTGTGTGTTATTCCCTCATTATCCCAATTACAATGAGCAGATAAAAGGTCCAGAGTTCATTTCAAGTGTGCTATTTGCATTTGGAATCTGTTGCTGTCAACTCTCAAGATGAGATCCAAAGAGCTGTCACTATCAGTGAAGCAAGCCATCATTAGGCTGAAAAAAACAAAACAAACCCATCAGAGAGATAGCAAAAACATTAAGCGTGGCCAAAACAACTGTTTGGAACATTCTTAAAAAGAAGGAACGCACCAGTGAGCTCAGCAACACCAAAAGACCCGGAAGACCACGGAAAACAACTGTGGTGGATGACCGAAGAATTCTTTCCCTTGTGAAGAAAGCACCCTTCACAACAGTTGGCCAGATCAAGAACACTCTCCAGGAGGTAGGTGTATGTGTGTCAAAGTCAACAATCAAGAGAAGACTTCACCAGAGTGAATACAGAGGGTTCACCACAAGATGGAAACCATTGGTGAGCCTCAAAAACAGGAAGGCCTGATTAGAGTTTGCCAAACGACATCTAAAAAGCCTTCACAGTTCTGGAACAACATCCTATGGACAGATGAGACCAAGATCAACTTGTACCAGAGTGATGGGAAGAGAAGAGTATGGAGAAGGAAAGGAACTGCTCATGATCCTAAGCATACCACCTCATCAGTGAAGCATGGTGGTGGTAGTGTCATGGCGTGGGCATGTATGGCTGCCAATGGAACTGGTTCTCTTGTATTTATTGATGATGTGACTGCTGACAAAATCAGCAGGATGAATTCTGAAGTGTTTCAGGCAATATTATCTGCTCATATTCATCCAAATGCTTCAGAACTCATTGGACGCCGCTTCACAGTGCAGATGGACAATGACCCAAAGCATACTGCAAAAGCAACCAAAGAGTTTTTAAGGGAAAGAAGTGGAATGTTATGCAATGGCCAAGTCAATCACCTGACCTGAATCCCATTCATCATGCATTTCACTTGCTGAAGACAAAACTGAAGGGAAAATGCCCCAAGAACAAGCAGGAACTGAAGACAGTTGCAGTAGAGGCCTGGCAGAGCATCACCAGGGATGAAACCCAACTTCTGGTGATGTCTATGCATTCCAGACTTCAGGCTGTAATTGACTGCAAAGGATTTGCAACCAAGTATTAAAAAGTGAAAGTTTGATTTATGATTATTATTCTGTCCCATTACTTTTGGTCCCTTAACAAGTGGGAGGCACATATGCAAAGTGTTGTAATTCCTACACCGTTCACCTGATTTGGATGTAAATACCCTCAAATTAAAGCTGAAAGTCTGCAGTTAAAGCACATCTTGTTAGTTTAATTTTAAATCCATTGTGGTATATAGAGCCAAAAATGTTAGAATTGTGTCGATGTCCCAATATTTATGGGCCTGACTGTATTTAACTACTGGTTGAACACTGGTGGGCTGAATTACCAACATTGCCCAGTTGGATTCACTGCCGGGAAACATCAGCTGAATTCCTACTATGCCCCCAGCCACTACTCTTCCTGCTGTATTGTACTGTAACATAATTAAGATAACCATGAAATAAACCTGTGCTGAGAAAATATACAAGCTTCCACTGCAAGCCTCTCCTGCAATACTGGCTGCCTGGGTATCGTGCATATCTGATGCCTTTATTATTTTCTAAAGCAATTAAGTAGAATAGGAGGACTAACTTCCCTCTGCCATTCTAATCTGTTTGGTTCCCAGACAAATTTCGATCCATGTATGGCCCGCTTCAGTCACTAAAGTAGAACAAATTCCCATCCATGTATGGCCATTACTGTTCATGTAAAATAAATCTAATTTATGGACTTCTCATAAACCGGATTGTTGGTAAATTTTTGCTGGAGCAGTGCATGCAGCCAATTGGCTGCAGCGCTGATCAGTGTATTCTGATGGCAGGGGAGTCCAGCTGTCAGATTACAATGACACGGCAGGAGGATTCCCACATCCACATTATGTGTGTGGATGGGGAATCAGTACGCCTTTTTTTGTTCAGCCCTATGATTGAGCAAAGAAAAAAAAGAAAAAAAAAACCTACCACCATACCATGTGTGGCCAGCTTTAGAGGGTATTAAAGCTACAGACCGGCAACTAGATTTTTATTTTCAAAAAAGGTCATAAATGGCAGGCTCTATATAAGTTTCCTATAAGGAATGTAAATTTCACTCATCTAGCCCTAGCCAGTAGACAGAGCTAGGATTTCGTACGCAACAGTCCTACCAATCTCAGTGAGTATGGAGTCATAGAAACAGGAAAGTGACGGCACAAAAAGGCAGAGTGGTCCATCGAGTCTGCGCGGCTTTTTTTTTTGTGTGTGTGTGTTTCTTTGTTTTTGTATGGGGATTTTTTGTTTTGTTTTTTTCCCTTTGTTAACTTTTTTTGTGTGCGCATAGATCTATGCTTGTCCCAAGCATGTTTGAAGCTATTTACCTTGGGTATGACTTACTAAAGGCAAATATTGTTCACTTTGCAAAGAAATTTTTCACAGAGCTTAGTGAATGGAGGTGAAGCTCTGCTGACTTCCATTACCCAATCACATAAAAACAAATATGCAGTTTTTTTTCCTTGTACATGATTTCATATTCTTTGAAAATGTGAAATTGCACCTCATTCGCTAAGCTCTGAGAAAAATTCCCATGCAAAGTGCAACTTCCCTTGCCATGCAAACAGTCTATTTGTGTTTAGTAATCAATCCCATTGACCATTTCTAGCTCTAACTAAATAGCATTCCTCCCATGGTACCAATGCCTCATCATTGGTCAGATGAATGAATGCACACTAGCATTATAACAGGACAAGGGAAAGTTTATGTGATCTCTCATTACTTTTACTGTAAGTCATACTGTTACATCTTGTGACAACAAGGCTTTGATTTTAGTAAATCAACCCCATAGTGTAAAAATAAAATATATGGTTTCATTTCCCAATGAAAACGTGGTCACGTGGTGCGTGTCATCACGCACCACATGACGATACGCGTAGGGAGGAGTTGGGTGAAGTCAGCGCTCCAACGCTGATGTGACAGGCAGGACTTTGCTCTCCTTTTCATTGCTTTGGAGGTTGTTTTTAATGCGTTTTTTGATGTAGTTACCATGTTATTATTATTCTACAGGATTTATACCATGTGAGTTCATATGCCTAAATAAATTATATGCCATTTTAAAGAAGCATACTGCACTATGGTCTTCTTTGTGGTTGTCAAGCTTTATACACAGAGCTGGCTGTACTGAAATCAGGTGCCATTTGGAAGATTCAGCAGTGATAAAAAAAAAAAAAAAAAAAAAAAAAAGAGGAAGATTGCCCACAGAGGAGAAAGTTATGTGTTACCTCACTAATAGGGGAGATGCTTTTCTGACCTATTAGTCACGTTTGAATTTGTCTTTATCTTCATATTTATTGTTTGACAGCAGCACGACACAATCTTTTTCATTTGGTCTTTATGCTTACACACATCACGTGTCTGCAGCAGCTCATTATTTAGTATTTATTCAGCAAATTGGCAGCGCAAGATTCTTTTTTGTTTTTAACAGTATTTGAAACGCTAAAAAATCCTGTTTATTACATACGCTTGTAAACATGCAGAAAAGTATGGAATTGCTTGCTAGATTTTTCTGCCTGCACCTGGCAGAAGGATCCAGCATAGATAGGAATATTTTAGTACGCATGTTAAAATGTAATTCTAAAAAATCAGAATGACAGAAAATGTAATGCCTGAAAGTATAACAGCTCTGTGACACACCGTCAAATGATATTTTCTAGAAAAGAAAAGGAAATCACCCTTTAGCATATTTTTGTTAATAAACTAGGTAATATAATGTAGGTAATCTCCAGTATCTCTCAGAAGTGAGTACACCCCTCACATTTTTGTAAATATTTTATTCTCTCTTTTCATGTGACAACACTGAAGAAATGACACTTTGCTACAATGTAAAGTAGTGAGTGTACAGCTTGTATAACAGTGTAAATTTTGTTGTCCCCTCAAAATAACTCAACACACAGCCACTAATGTCTAAACCGCTGGCAACAAAAGTGAGTACACCCCTAAGTGAAAATGTCCAAATTGGGCCCAATTACCCATTTTCCCTCCCCGGTGTGTTACAAGGTCTCAGGTGTGATTGAGGAGCAGGTGTGTTAAATTTGGAGTTATCGCTCTCACTCTCTCATACTGGTCACTTGAAGTTCAATATGGCACCTCATGGCAAAGAACTCTCTTAGGATATGAAAAAAAAGAATTGTTGCTCTACATAAAGATGGCCTAGGCTATACGAATATTGCCAAGACCCTGAAACTGAGCTGAAGCACGGTGGCCAAGACCATACAGCAGTTTAACAGGACAGGTTCCACCCAGAACAGGTCTCGCCATGGTCGACCAAAGAAGTTGAGAGCACGTGCTCAGCGTCATATCCAGAGGTTGTCTTTGGGAAATAGGCATATGAATGCTGCCAGTATTGCTGCAGAGGATTAAGGGGGGGGGGTCAGCCTGTCAGTGCTCAGACCATATGCCACACACTGCATCAAATTGGTCTACATGGCTGTTTTCCCAGAAGGAAGCCTCTTCTAAAGATGATGCACAAGAAAGCCCGCAAACAGTTTGCTGAAGACAAGCAGACTAAGGACATGGATTACTGGAACCATGTCCAGTGGTCTGATGAGACC